CTCCTCCAATAGCCAAAGCTCTAGAAATATATGAAAATATCTACAAAACGAGCACGCGTAATACCTTTCCAACAAATATAGAACTAAAGCACAAATATGCAATTTATACACCACAAATGCAACAATTAAGCTCTAGATACTATATGAATATGGTGTAAAATCACACATGAACACTAACGCGCTAGCAGCCATACAGCTTCAGCTACTGCACTTGAGCAAAAGTAAAGAGGTCAGAACAGAGGAATCTATTCTGGGTACACCCCCTCAGCAACATTCAACTGGAGGGAGACCACCATTCCCACAACCTCAGATGAACAGGACCACTTTGCAGCTGGAAAACCCATCACCAAATCACTTTATCAGCCCATTACCCAAGGTAGATTTTCCTAAATTTGATGGGTCAAATCCCAGGGGATGGATTCTCAAGTGCCATGGATATTTCCAGATTATTCCTAATATTCCTGATGGACAGAAAATTGTGTTAGCCTCTATGCACTTTGAGGGCAAAGCAGCTCAGTGGTACCAAACTTTCTGCACCAAATTTGAGGGTTGTACATGGCCACAGTTCTTGGAGATAATCTCCTCCAGATTTGAAGAAATTAGAGAATCCAGAATTATTGGTGAATTTAATAAGCTAAAACAATCTGGTTCCTATGAAGATTATGTGGAGAAATTTGAGGAATTAAGGTCATGTATGTTGTTGTTCAACAGGGGTGAATTCTCTGAGGATTACTTTGTTGCAAGCTTCTTAAGTGGGCTGAGTGAGGAGGCTCAATCTTTTATTAACATGTTTGATCCCAAGACCTTGCAGCAGAATGTTGAATTGGGAAGGAAACATCAGTGCACAGTTGATGCAATAGTGAAAAGGGTCAAGGTTCCTCATAAACTTCCAAATCACTTCACACACAACAGGAAGACTGACTACCAAGCTCCTAAAGTTCCAAACACTAATGTTCAGTATAAACCACCAATCAAAATGCTGACAGCCCATGAAATGGCAGCAAGGAGAGAAAAGGGTTTATGCTATAATTGTGATAAACCCTATGTGGTGGGGCACATGTGCAAAAACAAGATAACTTATATGATTATGACAGAGGATGAAGAATTTTCCTATCTGGGTTCAGAAAAGGAAACTGAAGAAGAACAAGAGGGTGCAGACATTGAAGAAATACAAATGTCTTTGAACTCACTCACAGGAGGACAAAATCTGACCACTATGAGGTTCACTGGAGAGTGTAATGGGCAAAAGTTACACATTCTTATTGATTCAGGAAGTACCTTGAGTTTTATCCAAGAAGACACATCAAAAAAATTAGGTTGTTCACTTCAACCAGTTAAACCAGTCATGGTCAGGGTGGCTAATGGGCATAGAATGGTGAGTTCTCACAGGGTGGATGGTTTTCAATGGGAAATGCAGGGTCACTGTTTTAATTATTCCATGAGGTTGCTGAAAACTGAGGGTTGTGACCTCATTTTGGGAGGGGATTGGCTTAAGGCTTGCACACCCATCACTCTTGACTATGATAAAATGACAGTCACTGTCACAATGCAAAAGAAGAAAATCAAGTTGCAAGCCATTACTTCTAAGGAGCAATGTAATTTCATTACAGGAGAGGCTTTGTTCAAAATGGTGCACCAAGATAGCACTCAGATTGAGGAGATTTTTCTTTTGTCCATTGAAGAAGACAATCCAAGGGTGGACACTAAACTACAAGAATTACTCACTCATTTTGAAGACATTTTTAAGGAACCACAAGGGCTACCACCAGAGAGAGGGATAGTGCATCAAATTATCCTTAAGGCTGGCAGTATACCAAAACATCAGTTCCCTTATAGAACTTCACATGCTCAAAAGAATGAAATAGAAAAGTTGGTCAAAGAAATGCTAGAGGCAGGGATCATCCAGAACTCCAAAAGCCCTTTTGCTTCACCAGTCATTCTAGTGAAAAAGAAAGACAGTACTTGGAGGATGTGTGTGGATTATAGGTACTTAAATGGGCTCACAGTTAAGCATGATTATCCTATTCCCATAATTGATGAGCTGCTAGATGAGATGCATGGTTCCAAGTATTTCTCTAAAATAGACTTGAGGTCTGGTTATTTCCAGATCTTGATGAAGACAGAACATAGAGAACTCACAGCTTTTGCCACTCACAATGGTCACTATGAGTTCTTGGTTATGCCATTTGGCTTGTGCAATGCACCAGCCACTTTTCAGTCACTTATGAACCAGGTTTTCAGACCCTACCTAAGAAAATTTGTACTGGTCTTCTTTGATGACATTCTAGTTTATAGCCCCTGTTGGCAATCACATCTTGTGCATTTGGAGACAGTATTAAGGCTCCTAAGAGAAAATCAGTTGTATGCTAAGTTGTCAAAATGCCAATTTGGTCAAACTGAGGTTGAATACCTTGGGCACATCATTTCTTATCAAGGTGTAGCTACTGACCCAAAGAAGATATCCAGCATGCTAAGTTGGCCAAGCCCAAAAAATTTCAAGCAACTCAGGGGATTTTTGGGTTCAACAGGCTATTATAGGAGGTTCATTAAGGGCTATGGTGTCATTTGCAAACCTATGACAAATGTTCTTAAGGGAGATAAATTTGTATGGTCCAAAGAAGCCGGAGAAGCTTTTCAGCAACTAAAGGAGGCTCTAACCACAACACCTGTTCTGGCCATGCCAGATTTCACACAACCCCTCATTTTGGAAACTGATGCTTGTGGCACTGGGGTGGGAGCTGTACTGATGCAACAGGGCAGGCCAATAGCCTACATGAGCAAAGGGCTTAGCCAGAAAAATCAGGCTTTGTCTATTTATGAGAGGGAGTTCTTGGCTGTCTTAATGGTTGTACAAAAGTGGAGAGGCTATTTGCAGAGACACAAGTTTGTTATCAAAACTGATCAGCAGGCTCTTAAGTATCTCCTGGACCAGAAATCTATGAACCCTATGCAGCAGAAATGGATCACTAAGCTCCTGGGCCTAGACTATGAGATTTTGTACAAAAAGGGGATTGAGAATAAAGTGGCAGATGCTTTGTCTAGAAGGGATAACCCTGATATTGAATGTTTGACTATCACTACAATTAAACCCCTGTGGATGCAACAAGTCATTGATAGCTATGGGCAGGATCCTTTCTGTCAGAAAATCATTCAAGCACAATCTGCAGAAAAGAATCCATATCCAGGGTTTGGTGTTCAAGGTGGACTCATCAGATTTAAAGGAAGAGTTGTGGTTGGATTTGATGTGCCCCTCAAGGAGAATTTGTTGCACACTATGCATAATTCCCCCTATGGAGGACATTCTGGGATAAATGGCACATACATGAGACTGAAAAGAAGTTTTTATTGGCCACTATTGAAAAAAGATGTTGTGGCTTGGGTCAAATCATGTGAAGTGTGCAAGAAAAACAAACCAGAAGCTGGAGCTTACCCTGGACTCCTGCAACCTCTACCCATTCCTACCCAAGCTTGGACTCACATATCTATGGACTTCATTGAAGGCTTACCCAAATCACAAGGCAAAAATGTGATATTGGTTGTGGTGGATAGATATTCTAAGTATGCACATTTTCTGCCTTTATCTCATCCTTTTTCAGCACAAGATGTGGCTAAGGTTTTCTTGGACTCTATTTACAAGCTTCATGGCCAGCCTATCAGCATAGTCACTGATAGGGACAAGATATTCACCAGCCATTTCTGGAGGGAACTCTTCAAATTAATGGGAGTGAGTTTGGATATGACTTCAGCATACCATCCACAATCTGATGGTCAAACCGAAAGAGTCAACCAGTGTGTTGAGACTTACCTCAGGTGTATGGTACATGAAAATCCTAAGCAGTGGCTTAAGTGGCTAAGTCTGGCTGAATATTGGTATAACACCAATTTCCACACCAGCTTAAAACTCACTCCTTTTCAGGTCCTATATGGTTTTCCTCTTCCTAATTTCTCTACTGGCCCTTTCCTAGATGCAACTAATGCAGATGCTCATGACATGATTTTACAAAGGCAACTAATTTCCCAACAAGTCAAAGAGAATTTGCAGAAGGCACAACACAGAATAAAATATTTTGCAGACCAGCACAGGCAAGAAAGAAGTTTTGAAGTGGGGGATGAGGTTTTCTTGAAATTGCAACCATTCAAGCAGAATTCAGTGTCATTGCGAAAGAATCTTAAACTCTCATCCCGTTACTTTGGACCTTATACGGTGTTGGAGAAAATAGGTTCAGTTGCTTACAAATTAGAATTGCCTCCAGATTCAAAAATTCATCCTGTTTTCCATGTTTCATTACTTAAAAGAAAGGTGGATCTCAAAAACTTATCTTCTACTGAACTTCCGGATGTTGATGTCGATGGCCACTTCAAGATCCAACCTTTGCGCGTCCTGGACACTCGTATAATCCGCCGCAAGGGTATAGCCATTCATCAGTCCCTGATTCAGT